GTAATGGAGAGCACACTTCGAGGTATTCCTGGGGTCTGCCCCTACTTTGATGACGTCCTCATTGCTGGGGAGTCATCTCAAAATCTAGCAGAGAGATTAAGGGCTGTCTTGCTTCGTTTTCGAAAAGCAGGCCTTAAGTTAAAGCAGGATAAATGTAAGATAGGAGTCACTTCAACTGACTTCTTAGGTTTCAGAATTTATGCCCAAGGCATTCACCCTGCTGAAACTAAACTGCAAGCTATTCAGCAGGCCCCAAGCCCTAAGTCTAAGAGTGAGCTGCAAGCCTTCTTGGGGCTCTTAAATTTCTACCATGCATACCTCCCACATAAGGCTGCAGTGGCAGAGCCGTTACACAGGCTCTTAGACAAGCAGGCTCCATGGCAGTGGACTAAAGTCCATGACAGGAGTTTCAATGAGGTTAAGGCCTTGCTCACTTCCAATGCTGTTTTAGCGCATTTCAATGAGCAACTGCCTGTTTGCATCGCATGCGATGCATCTCCTTATGGGGTGGGAGCAGTACTTAGCCCTCTGAAGGCTGATGGGACACAAGTCCCTGTGGCCTACTATTCAAGGACTCTGTCATCTGCAGAGCATAATTACACTCAGATTGACAGAGAAGCCTTGGCCATAGTGGCTGGCATAAAGAAATTCCATGATTTCTTATATGGCCGCCATTTCACGGTCTATACAGCCCATAAGCCTCTGCTGGGTTTGTTTACCACTAACAAACAGACACCATATATCATTTCTCCTCATATGCTGAGATGGTCCATTTTCCTGTCAGCATATGACTACACCCTAGTTCACAAACCTGGAAAAGAGATGGGTCATGCAGATGGCCTAAGTAGATTACCTTTGAAACAGGTAGAGCCAGACCCTGCTCCTGCCATTAATATTCTTTCCATTCAGGAGTTGCCTGAATCTCCCCTCAATGCTAGGGACATGGCTGCAGAAACTGCCACTGATCACACGCTTGCACGCGTGCTGACATGGGTGTTGTCAGGATGGCCGGACACGTGTCCAGATACTGAGTTCCAAAGCTTCTGGCACAAGAAGCATGAGTTTTCCACTTTCAAGGGTTGTCTGTTATGGGGCAGCAGGGTAGTAATCCCAGCCTCATTGAGGTCTAGAATCTTGCTCTCTCTGCATGAGGGACATCCTGGTATAGTCAGGATGAAAGCGCTTGCACGCAGCCATCTTTGTTGGCCTGGGCTCGATAAAGCCATTGAGGCTCAGGTGCATGGGTGCCAACTGTGCCAACAGTCACGGCCTGAAATGCCTCAGGCCTCAGTTCATAGGTGGGAGGAAACTCTAACCCCATGGTCAAGGGTGCATATAGATTACGCTGGACCCTTTCAGGGGCAATTCTTCCTGGTTGTTGTTGATAGCCATTCCAAGTGGCTAGAGGTTGTTCCTGTTTCCTCCACTACTACTGCCAGGACCATTCAGGTGTTGAGAGGAATTTTTGCAGCACACGGACTTCCTGATGTCCTGGTTTCTGATAATGGCCCTCAATTTACATCTTTTGAGTTCCAGGCTTTTCTTCAGGCCAATTTGATCCAGCATGCGACTTCTGCTCCCTTCCACCCATCTTCCAACGGTATGGCTGAGAGAATGCTGTGCACTACCAAAGACGCTCTCAAGAAACTGACTTATGGTAACTGGCATCACAGGTTAGCAGATTTTCTTCTTGCACACTGCACCACACCTTGCACTACCACTGGAAAGAGCCCAGCTGAACTCCGTTGGGGTCGCAGACTCATTACCAAACTGGACAGGTTGCACCCAGACCGGGTGGCTTCACAGGTGTCACAGCCGCGGGCACCTAACATACTACAGTTGGGCGATCTGGTCTGGGCGAGGAACTATGGTCCTGGTCACCTTTGGGTTCCTGGTGTCATCTGTAAGATCTCTGGACCTCTATCATACGAAGTGTCCTTGGAAGATGGCCGTGTCCTGCGGTGCCACATCGATCAACTGCGCTGGCGGTTGTCACCTGTGGATGCCGTCCCTGCCTCCACTCTCGGGGGGGAGGGGGACCAGGAACTACGTCGCACTTCAGATCAACATTTTGTGACTCAGCCTCACTGTTCCTGGGAAGTACCGCAGGTCGCTAGGAATTCACAGGATGGGGGGGCATCCCACATCTCTGTAATTACTCCAGACAGGGATTCACACCGGGGCATCCCACACATCCGTAATTACTCCATACAGGGATTCACATCCCTCCAGACAGGGATTCACATTCTTCAAACATGTCAGATAGTGCTCCAGACAGGGAGACAGACTGGAGGTATCCACATAAATCACACACAGCCATAGAAAGAGAATTCCACCTGGGGCACTCGCATAGTTCTGCAATTGCTCCAAAGAGGAAGTCACCAGCAAAGGGGGTTGCCATGGAGGCGGCTCCTGACTCTGGCACCTCTGGCATGTGCTCAGGGGCTACAGAGTACTGGGGCACTTCCGCTACCCAGGCCTCTCTATCTGCTGTCCTTGGGCTCGAGGTACAGCGTTCCCGAGAGGGGTCCATTATGGACTCGGGGACTTCCACCCCTCCAAGGTATACTGACTTGGACTTAGAGGGTCCAGCCAGTAAGCAGGTGGGTGGGTCAACCGGGTATTTGGGGCAGCAAAGTCCTGGCCTGCCTAGCCTGGTAGGCGAGCAGGTGGGCCAGGCAACCTCACTGGCCCTTAGAAGGTCGCAGCGGGCCAAGTGCCCACCTAAACATCTGGGAGAATATGTGAGGTTGCTGTCAACACATGAGAAACACTGCTATGAAGCCCTTGAATAAGGGGAGTAACACGTAGCAGAGTCTCATTCAATATTTTGGTTTTGGATATATTATTTAAGTTAAGAAATATTTTGAAGGATGTTTGCCTGTGTGCAGACCCGTGTATTTTTATTTTTTTTTTGTATTTGTATTTGAATAATACAACTGTATCCCACTCTTTCCCATTGCATAATGCACCAATGTGTATGCAAGGTGTATTCCATCTAGGGGGGAGGGGTGTTGTGTCCTGAGCCTGCAGAAGCAGGCTCAGGAGGTTGCAATTGGTCCTGGGCATTCCAAAAGCTGCCCGGGACCAGACAGAGCAGTACCAGCATGCACAAGGCGCGAAAACGCTGAGTTTCTATTGGTTAGCACTGTCTGGGTTCCTGACCCTATAAAAGGCCTGCGTGCCTTTTGTGGCTTTTGCTTGGAGTTGGAGAGAGAAATAAAGAGCTATTGTTTCCACCATGCATCTTCGTCAATTGCTTGCGAACCGAAAACACAACAGATGGCATGTCTTTCTATAGTACAATAAAGTTAAGGCTAATATTGCTTTTAAAAGTTACTATATTAAAAGTGCCATATTGAGAATATGGAATAGATATAAACCCAGAATTTAGCAACTTCCAGTTCAGTTGTTCAGTCTGCTAAGGGAAAGAACGCAACTTCCATTTCGGGCCAACCTTCTTTTAGTAAGAAGAGTAAATATTAATTGAGTATATGAAGTGTGATAAAAAGGGCCACACAACAAGATGTGCAAAGCTCTGTTGATGGCTTTGCTTGACAATAGATACAATCGTTCCAAATAGAGGATGTTGCTGAATCTCCATTCCAATATTCCCGAAGATAAGATATCAAACCTCACTAGGGTAAATGTTGTTCTATGTAAGAGGGGGAGAAGATAGGAAAACTAATTAGAAATAGTAAAATGTCTATCATAAAGGCCCCCATAACAACAATTGGAAACTTAGCACCTGTTATTCTCCAGGTGTAAGTCGGTTTGATCTTTGACATAGCTTTCTTTGATTTAAGCTTTAATAGGATTTAACTGAAATCAAATACTGAAAGGCCACAATGGAACAGTTTGAGAAGGTTATGTTACTTATCCAAAGAAACTGATCAGTGAGACAGATTGAGGCAGGAACTCACCCCAGAAAATTTGCTTTAGCCAAGATTACAAATGATAAATTCTCATTTGGGCCTCTATAGAAACACAACTCAGTTCTATCCAAAGAAGTCTGACATAACTTAAAGAACATAAACCCTTAAGCTCTTATATATTTGGATTGGATTATTTCCATAACCACTATATCTGTGCAGGCACAAAATTGTGCACCATGCAGTCAGAGCACCTTCATGAATTAATTACAAAAATTAAATCATGTTGATTTAAAACATGCATTTCTCAGTGTATAACAAGATGTACTGTACATCAAAACAGGACAAAAAGTTTCCCCAGCAATTATTAACTTTTCCCTGCCATGGAGTGTGTCTTTGTGAATGACAAGATAAAATATGGGAACATCACAATACTATTTTATCTGTGCACCAATTCCATCCATTTCTCTTCTTCCTTTTGAGCCCTATATTAACTGGGTGTTGCCAATGAAGCTCTTCACAAGTGTGGCATCTTTACCACCCACATCTGAAGAAACCACCCACAGTATTTGTTTGTGCTACCGTGGTTTTAAATGACAGTGTAGTAAAACGTGACATGACATACTTCTAGCAACAGACTAAGCTGGTGTCAACTAAGAAGGTATTTATTTGCAGTTATTATTCTAAGGAGGTTCCAAATATTTATTCCAAATATTTTTTCTCCTTCATAATGCAGCAGTATAATTTTGGGTGGTAATATATTTATTTCTTCCACATTTGAATTGAGTTTTCTGATGGGATTCATTTTCTTGGAGTAGGTAGGCTTTATGAGAAAATCAACTATCCATTAGTTATCTCTCAGCAAAACTTTCTGTAGTTTTGATAGCTAAGAAAATATTGTGAGAGAGGTGTTTTCAGAATGCTGATGTTAAATGGAAAGATAAGAATTGCGGCAGCTCATAGCTTTTATTGTTGTCCTAATAGAGAGGTTCATGATTATCTATAGTCCTCAGTGTCTTCAAAATTACAGTCAGGATTTAAATGAATGTATGTATTTTGTCAACTATATTGATTTTTTGAGATTCATTTCTTTTGTTTCTCTTGTCCTCTTTAACAAAGAGAAAGAAAATGTATAGGATTATTGTATTAGCATACCTAATACGAGGATTGACAGGCTATGAAGAACTTATCGGACAAAAACATGTGAATCCTGAAGTTTATATGAATGTTGTAAGTTATATGATCTATATTTTATAAATAATGAAGTAGAAACATACTCCTGAGTAACAATATTGACCACTTGTTCTTTCCTTTGTGGCTAAATCAACACCATTCTTTCCCAACCTCAAAATATATTGATACCAATTTATTGATTGTGTGCCATCAAATCAGTGTTGACATTTAGCAACCACATTTTCTCCATGATGATTTGTCACAAACTGGTTCTTCAGGTCTTCCAACAGTGCACCTATTGCCATTGTAACTAAGTCCATCTACCCTACTGTTGATCATCTTCTCCTCCTCTTTCCTTCCAGCTTTCCAAGTACTCGAGTCTTCTCCAAAGAGCTAGGTCATTGTGTAATGTTGATATCACACTGGTCAGAATTCCTAGTTAAGACTGCAATCAAGGTTACTGGTATAAGAAAAATTATATCACCATTAATACTACTCAACACACGTATTTACATACTTGTTGTTAAGGATCACCATTTCAGCATTGCTCATTTTAACAGAAAACAGCAGTATTCCTTCCCCAGTGAATACAAATCCAGATCTGTTCCTGATGGAGTCTGGTCTTTTCCATCTCTTTATCACTGTGTGTGTCTGGGTCTGTCTGTCTGTCTGTCTGTCTCTGTGTGTGTGTGCGAGAGAGAGAGAGAGAGAGAGAGAGAGAGAGAGAGAGAGAGAGAGAGAGAGAGATCTTGTGTTGTACATGATCCACCCGCTGATGCTTGGTTTTAGCTTTAGGAAAAAAAAAATCTTCAATCTTATGTACTGTAAGAATTAATTGTTTTCTTCTCCCAGAGTCAGATGATTTCTCATCAAGGCTACCCAAGTGAAGAATATAAAGTCTTGACAGCGGATGGCTATTATCTGACAATAAACAGAATTCCACGGGGAAGAAAAAACATTGCAGACATAGGTATCTCTTTTTTTTTTAAATCAAAGTCAATTTTGGATCTATCAAGCTGATATAAAATGTTTAATAGCTATGCCAATGCAGAAGGATACATGTACATTCCCAAGATTTAACATACTAAAATGGAATCAACTTCAGAAACATCTGGGTCCCAAAACATATTATTATATGTACCTCATGGGTAATATTAGAAAATAAGTCTCTCTTGCAATGAATGGTCAGATCCATGCAATTTGGTTATTTGGTTGGATAATGTTGTCTAGAATTCAATAATATATGAACAAAACTTAATAAAATTATTAATTATAAATATTACAATACAGATAATCCTCGCGTTATGAATGTAATAGAGCCTGCCAATTATATTCCTAACCTGAGGATTTGTAGGAGTGAATCATGTAACTTGAATGTGATCACTCCCTGCTTTCGCCCAGGAATTTGCTAATCAAACGTGTGGGTGATTAAGTGAACGAGGTGTCTCAGAATTGGGAAGGCCAAGGGGGAGGCCTAGTGCTTCTGACCACCCAAGTCCTCCCCCCCCCCGCCCCACTGAGATATCTCATGTTTCCCCCTTCCCCCCATCCTGCTCCACCGAGTCATTTACCTTACATAGATCTTGATGATCAAGGGAGCTGTCTCCTCTGCAGCCTCTCTACTATGGTTTCACATTGAGCAAAGGCTTGCTGAGGCCTGGAGGGATGAGAGATTGCATCCCTATAGGTTCAGGTCATCTTTGCAAAAAGCCTTTGCCACTGAGAACAGAGACCAGGAGCACGTGTGCATCCCTCCTGGGCTCCATTCTCGGCAGAGGCCTTGAGGAAATGGAGGCCCAGAGGGAGAAAACATCTTTGCAGTTCTTGGCAGCAAAGGCTTTTTGCAAAGATGGCAAAAGGTTTTGCAAACAGAGGGAAAGCTTCAGTACTTCAGGCCTTCTCTCCATTTGCAAAGCTTTTTGCCACAGATAGAATAGAACAGAATAAAATCGAGCTGGAAGGGACCTTAGAGGTTTTCTAGTCCAGCCCCCTGCCTGAGCAGGAGAACCTATATCGTCTCAGACAAGTGGATATCCAGTCTCTTCTTTAAAATCTCTAGTGATGGAGTGCCCATGATTTCTGGGGGTAAGCTGTTCCACTGGTTGATTGTCCTCATTGTCAGAAATTTCTCCTTAGTTCCAGGCTGCTTCTCTCTTTGGTCAGTTTCCAACTGTTGTTTCTCATCCTTCCATCTGGTGCTTTGGTGAACAACCTGCCCCCCTCTGCCTTGTGGCAGCCCCTCAGATACTGGAACACTGCTATCATGTCTCCCCTATTTCTTCTTTTCTTTAGACTAGCCAGAACCAAATCTCGTAGCCGTTCTTCGTATGTTTTAGTCTTCAGGCCCTGATCATCTTAGTTGCTCTTTGAATTTTTTCCAAACTCTCAACATCTTTTTTGTGGTATGATGACCAAAATTGGCTACAGTATTCTAGGTGTGGTTTTACTAGGGTTTCATAAAGCGGTAATAGTACTTCTTGTGATCTTGATTCTATTCTTCTGTTTATATAACCAAGGATTTTGTTAGCTGTTTTGGTTGCTGCTGCACACTGCTGGCTCATAGTCAAGTTATCGTCCACTAGGACAGGACTTTTCAACCGGTGGTACGCGTATCACTTGTAGTACTTTGCCACATGGCAGGTGGTACGTGATTGCTAGCCAAGTGTAGCAGGGGAGGGGAATGAGCCGAAGTGAGCCAAGCCTGAGGGAGAGGCAGCTGCAGCTGCAGGACTATCTGGGCTTGGCAGAAGCCCCAGGAACTTGGCTCCAGCTGATTGATGCTTCCGGAAGCAGCTCGGAGCTGGAGGTGAACTGAAGAAAAGGGGGGGAAGAGAGGAGAGGCTATAAAAGAACGTGGTTTGGGTGGGGGAAGGGGAAAAAGACAACATAAAAGGTTTAATCCCTTTAAACAAATGTAATTAGTTTTACCCCCTTTAATTGAATCTATCTGTGGCTTTTAGAAAGTTTTCTTTGAAGGTAAACTGGCTTAATGTAAAGCTAAAGCTTTTCACAATTGTGGGAGCCTTTCAGTCTAGAATTGCAACATTGTGACACGTGACACGCCTGAGACAGCATAAAGAGAAAAAAAACGGAATTTGTGTTTCTTTATTTTCTTGCTTTGCACTTGATTCCTGTGTCTTTAAGCGTACAGGGAAGAGATTGGGGGGGGGGTGCATTCTTACCACACTGTGGAAGAGCTCAGACAGGCAAACCAGCTAGCTCAGGAGTCTACAAACTTAGCAATTTTAAGACCTGTGGACTTCAACTTCCAGAATTCCTCAACCAGCCATGAGGGCTGAGGAATTCTGGGAATTGAAGTCCACAAGTCTTCAAAGTGCCAAGTTTGAAGACCCCTGAACTAACTGGTAGTGGTGCATATTAATAAACATGGATAAATTCATCATACATTTGTCAGTGCAAAGGGAAAGTGATTCAGCAAAGGAACAGCCACCGAAGAAATTAAAACTGGTACTTTTTTCTTTTTTTCTACAGTTTGTAATATTTTATTAGATTATAGAATAAAATACAAAAATACAAAAGCAAATAGTAGGACACAGTGGGGAGGAAAAAGGGGGGGGAAGTGAGGGGAAGAAGGGAAAAAGAACAGACTTCCTCTGTTGCAGTAGAAGGAAGCATTAACATTGAACCTCAACTTTTTACTTTTCCATAATATCATAAACTAGCCATTTCTATAACAACAAATGAATCTAATCAGTAAAACCCAAAATCCCCCTCTTTTTTTTTAGTCATCAAGTTTTTGACACCTTGCTAAGCACTGGTAGTACTCAAATATTGTCATGTCCTAAAGTGGTACAATCTGTGAAAAAGTTGAAAAGCCCTGCACTAGGACTCCAAGGTCCCTCTCACAGTTACTGTTTTTGAGCCAGGTCTCGCCCAATCTGTATTTGTGCCTTTGGTTTTTCCTGCCTAAATGTAAGACTTTGCTTTTCTACATATTGAAACTCATTTTGTTGGATAGGGCCCATTGTTCAAGTTGGTCAAGATCTTTTTGGATCCTGAGTTTGTCTTCTGGGGTGTTGGCTACTCCTGCTCATTTGATGTCATCTGCAAATTTGATGAGTTCCCCTTCTATTCTCTCATCTAAGTCATTAATGAAGATATTGAAGAGCCTAAGATCCACTTCTCTCCATGTGGATGTAGTGCCATTGAGGACTACTTGTTGAGTATGGTTTGTTAGCCAGTTACAGATCCATCTGGTAGTGATGTTGTCTGTCCCACCTTTTCTTAGTTTACTAGGGAGTAGGTTGTGGTCTACCTTGTCAAATGCCTTACTGAAGTCCAAGTATACTATGTCCACTGAGTTTCACTGGTCTACTAGTTTAGTCACTTTTTTGAAGAATGAGATGATATTGGTTTGGCATGATCTATTTTTGACAAACCCATGCTGGTTACTAGTTATGACTTTGTTTACTTCTAGTTGTTCACAGATCTGTTTTTTGATAATGTTTTCTAGGATTTTCCCAGGTATTAATGTTAAACTGATTGGTCTGTAGTTTCCTGGGTCCATTTTTTCTTTCTTTCTTGAAGATGGGGACCACATCAGCCCTTTTCCAATCCTCTGGTACTTCCCCGGTGCTCCAGGATTTATGGAGGATGTGATGCAATGGTTCTGAGATAACCTCTGCCAGCTCTTTCAGAACTCTGGGATGTAGCCTGTCAGGTCCCAGTGATTTATATTCATTAAGGTTGAATAGGTGCTCCCTTACCATTTTCTTGCTTGTTTTAATTTTTGTTTCTGGTATGTCTTTTGCAGTGTTTTTTTTTTTGTTTTTGTGTTGGGCTGTAGTATCTTTTTGTGTGAAGACTGACACACTGTTGCCTGTAATTTCTTTGCTATCTTCTCCCTTTAGTGGGCCTACAGTTTCCTTGATTTTTTCTTGTTGTTAATATGTTGGAAGAAGCTTTTTTATTGTCCTTGATTTCTGTTGCTAGCCTTTGTTCATTCTGAGCCTTTGCTTTCCTGACTTCGTCTTTGCATGCTCTGGCTGTCTGCTGGTAATCAGCTTCTTGGATTTCTTGTTTTTCTTTCTCAGTGGTATTGTGCTGGCCTGGACTTTTGTGATCACATTTTTCAGGGTTTCCCATGCTTCCTGGGTTGTTTTCCCCTTTAGGATTTTCATCCATGGGATTTTTTCTAGGTTCTCTCTTAGTTTGTTAAAGTTGGCTGTTTTGAAGTTTGGGACCTTGGTTGGATTGATTCCTATTGCTGGTGTTTGCATTATATTAAATTCTACTATGACGTGGTCACTTTTGGCCAGGGTTCCGGTAATTTCGATTCCCTCTATCATTTCTTCTCTGTTTGTAAGGATTAAGTCCAGTGTAGCTTTATGTCTAGTTCCCTCCTCCACCTTTTGAGTGACAAAGTTGTCAGGTTGGTTAAGAATATGTTTGATCTCCCACTCACTGCAGAGTTTGTCTCCCAGTTGATATCTGGGTAGTTGAAGTCTCCGATTGCTACTGTGGTGTGCTTCCTGCAGGCATTTGTTAGTTGATTGGCAAAGAGCTCATCTATTTCATCTGGTTGGTTGGGTGTTCTGTAATAAACATCTATGGCAATGTCACTTTTGTTTTCTTTTATATTGACCCATATACTTTCTGGAGAGATTTTGTCTTGAGTCATGTGCATTTCTGCAGATATGTAGTGCAACTCCCGCTCCTCTTTTTATAGCCTCTGTTTTCAGAGAACAAAGGTCTAAAGTACCGTGAGATCTCGTGCTACTGATCTCACGTGATCTTGTGTTACTTTAGGCCTCCATTCTCTGCCAATGCACCAAAGGCCTGAAGCATCAAAGCAGGCCAAGAAATTGAAGGCTTGCTAGGTCTTCGCAAGGTGAGTATTCACAGCCCAGTGCCTGTGCAGACCCAGTGTGTGTGTGTGGGGGGGGGAGAAATAGGCAGGGCAAATGTTGCAGCACTTGTGTGGTTGTTCATAAAGGTGAACCACTGCCGTGGTGCTGCAACATTCATAACTTCGGGACTGTGTCATAAGTACTTGGGGGGGGGCTATGTCCTAACTTTGAACGGTCGCCAGTGAACTGTCATAACTTGAGGATTACCTGTATTATAAATGTTTGAGAAAAATGTAAGATTTGTTTAAAATGTTTTGTTGCCATGGCTTGAAACTTCAACTCTGTAACATTTTATTTTTAAAAAATATAATCCAAAATATAATCTACAGATGGAAAGCCTGTTGTCTTTTTGCAACATGGCATTTTTGGAGAAGCCAGTCACTGGGTGGAGAACATGGCCAACAACAGTCTTGGTTTTATACTTGCGGATGAAAACTGTGATGTTTGGCTGGGAAACAGCAGAGGAACAAGCTGGTCTCAAAGGCACCGGAGTTTCTCAGTGGATCAAGAGGATTTTTGGAATTTCAGGTAGTTTGAGTCACAGTTTGAAACTCTATTCCCATACTGAGCTATATTAGTAACATGTTGCTAATGTATGGTTTTCAGGGTTAATGCTAAGGAGCTTGGTTTTTAAATTATATATCTGTGCATGCGGTGCGCAAGCATGTGTGCATGTGCAGCTCTATTTAGGCAAGCAACAGGCATGCACTCCTACCAATAGTGCAAATGGAGCACATGCCTGCTCTCACCAAACTACTTTTGCAGTCTTGTTCTGAAAGGTTCAAGACACAGAAGTGGGCTGCAGCCTGGGGGTTGGGAACCCTGGGCTAAGAGACAGTCACTGGACCAAAGTCACCCTGCCAGATTTCATGCCTATTGCCTAAGGCAAAAATAAAATTCCCAGTCTCCTGGTTTCTAGCCTGGTACCTTAACCACTAAATCACACTGGCTCCCCAACACAAAGATTAACCAATTCCAGGTGATTGATGGACCCAAAGGGCTTTCCAAGGGAGCTTACAGTTTTTCTCGAGGGTCTGCTGAGCTATTGCAATCCAACTGAGCACAAGTAATAATCCATATTAGAGATTGCATCATGGCAATAAGGCCAGTGAAATGCTCTTTTTTCTTGCTTTTTTTTGCATCTGTTGGTAGCTGCCCAATGACCTGGTGACCTGGTCTTTGCTAGGACTGAAGGATCATCTCCAGGTCCACTGCGAGGAATAGTCTTACTATATGACAGATAAGATAACTCTGGGTTGGACTCTGATTGATCAGTTCCAGGCAAAATCTTGTATGGTTGCCTGAAGGAAGTTTGATCCTGTGACTCACTAAAAGGGAGTCTACTAGCTTGACCACATGCTTGTTAGATCCAGCTCCTTCCTGGATGGTGAGGATGTCAACCTCTTTCACTGAAGGGGTGATTCAATCAGCCCTAAAAGAAGTGATGATGGATCCATGTCTCAAGAAGTGATCGCTGAATCCAGTGGTTGCCAGTATTCTCATTTTAAGGAAAGTGATGGAAACCGAGAACTCTGAAGAAAGCACATTGTTTGGGCCATTTTAATTGGATTTTAGGTTGAGATTAAGTATGGAGATGGCATTTGTCATGCTTGTTGATAACCTGAGGCTAATTTGGGTAAGGATTATGCTCCTTATTCTCTCAGTGGCTTTTGACACTATCAATTATGGTATCCTTCTGGACTGGCTTTGAGAGTTAGGGGTGGAAGGCAGATTTTATTGAAATGTTTGGAAACACGGTAAGTGAAATTTGTTTACTTATTTATTAACAATTACAATTTTTACTATTTCATTTCAGTTTCCATGAAATGGCCATGTATGATCTTCCAGCAACAATAAACTTTATTTTGAAGAAAACTAAAAAGAAACAATTGTATTATGTTGGCCATTCTCAAGGCGCTACTATTGGTATGATGAAATTAAAACCCTTTTCTCTTTTTCTCTTTTATTCCCCTCTTTCTCTTTCTCCTTTTCTGTCTCTGTCTATCTCTTGGTAATAATGTAAAAGTTCTTACATAGTATCACAAGAAGCTACATCTACAATCTTATCTGGTAATGTTTAAAAATAGCCTGAAAACAAAATAAATCCTGTTTCTCTCTCTCTCTTAAAGTTACTTAGGACAATGATGGCAGTCTAGAGTTGAAGGAACATGTATACTACTTCACAACTCCACAGGGACCTTCCAAACCTAATTATGAGGGATTTATTCAGATGGTTGATTAGGGTAATCTGTTATTTTCCCAACAGCCTGTTAAGTTAAGTTGTCAAGAAAGATGAATTAAAATGAAAACACAGGGAAAGGGGGTTAACTGAAAGATATTTCCAGGGCCACCATGTGCTTCAATCCCAGTAACCATTATCATGCAGTAAGTCCCTCAACAAATTGTAGCGAAAGAAAGCACAGCCCTTGATTTTTGACTAGAGCTGTATTTCCATTGGAATAATATATTCTGAGAGACTATATCTCAATAACATATTGAGATATGACAATACTGGCTTTCTTCCCTCCCTCCTCCATTTTCTTTCTTCCAGTACTCTCTTCCCTTTATTTTTCTTCATACTTTCTTGGAATTAGACCTTTTTTAATAAGAGGAATGAAACCTACAACTTCCAGAGACCTTTCAGAATGAATCTGAATACAACATGAAATTAGGCCAATGGGTTACTAATAGATTCTACTTAGCTCTAAATAGCCACTTTTTTTCTTGTTTTTTCCTCTTAGGCTTCATAGCATTTTCAGCCATGCCAGAACTATCTCATAAAATCAAAATGTTCCTTGCCTTAGCTCCTGTGATCTATGTTACACATGTCCCAGATCTTCTATTGAGATTGTTGTCCTCTTTTCCTCAACATCCATTCAAGGTATTAATTCATTAATCATTATTTTATGACTGATGGAACTGAAAAAGGAAAGATGACAAAAAAAATATTAAGACATTCCCAAATTGCTGTCACCATGGTTCCAACTGCCACATACCAATAAGAATTAGAGTAGGCACCTATCATTTTTATTATATTATTTTGCACAAAACACAAAGATGAATATGGTATTTAGCCACGCTAGATATAGGCTCATATTTTGTGAACTTTGTATATGCATTCATTCAACTAACAGCACAACAAATCATTAGTCAACCGACACATTTTGATTGTTCTTTGTTGCAGCGTATTGTAAATTTATTCTGTACTGAGTAAAGATACATTTGAAATAGGAAGGGCGCCTTAAATTTACTAAGAATTATAGGGAAGTAGACAAGATGTTTATTTATTTGGTCTAATCTTCCTGTCTATGGAGTTTTATTTACATGCTAGATATAGGCTTATTCAAGATAAGAGTAATTCTGAGCAATGCAAAAAGGCCAGATGTAAACCAGCCCACCTCAAAAACTGGAGTTGTGTAGTCCTTTATGTAAGGCAGGGAGGAAAAGGAAAAGCAACAAAGTTGGAATGTTGTCTCTATATAAATCATATTGATATCTGAAAAAGTGCAGTTGCTCAATTTTTTCTAGTTATGGCTTTCTAACTTTCTTCAATAAACATGATATCTTCTAGGGTATCAGATTTTTTTGATCACCACATTATAAAAAAGATGTTGAAGAAGTGCAGAAAGGAGCATCAAAAATGATTAGGGAACTGAAGTCTACAACATATGAAGAACAGTTGCAGGAATTGAGTTTGTCTAGTCTAGTGAAAGGAAGGAAGGCTGACACTGATGGCAGTGTTCCAATATTTGAGTGGTTGCCACAATGAAGAAGGAGTCAAGCTATTCTCCAAAGCACCAGAAAGCAAGACAAGAAAGAATGGATGGAAACAAATCAAAGAGAAAAGCAGCTTAAAACTAATAAGACATTTCCTAAAATGAGAATAATTAACTAGAGAAATGGCTTGCCTTCAGACGTTGTGGGTGCTCCATCACTGGAGGCTTTTAACAAGAGACTGGACAACCACTTGTCTGGAATGGTATAGGGCATGGGTGTCAAACTTGCCACATCACTTGACATGTCACGACGTATCACAACTTTTTTCACATTGCCGGAGCTGGGTGGGCGCGGCCTCCGCATAACACATCCAGCCCGCGGACCAGCAGTTTGACATCCCTGATATAGGGTCTCCTGCTTGTGCAGGGGGTTGGACTAGAAGACCTCCAAGGTTCCTTCCAACTCTGTTATTCTGTGATCTGGGCAATTCCAATCCTGTTCAAGTGGATGAAGCCTGGAACTTTGGAAATATATGGAGCATCATGGGCAAAATCTGAAACATCCCCAAGTTCTACAGGAGTATAGAGGAAGGAAGGAAGGAAGGAAGGAAGGAAGGAAGGAAGGGAGGGAGGGAGGGAGGGAGGAAGAGAGGGAGGGTTGGAAATCTTTCTTCCAGGATGAAGAAAAAAACTGAGAAAAAGCTGATTTCATGCTTCATGAAGGGCTAGAATTCAAGTCTGTTACTCCCAGTCCAGGACCTTTAACTGCTGCACTGACCTAGCTCTTGTTTGCAATTACATGTTGTAATATATAGTCAGTGAAATTTTTGCATAAGTTAAATATTGCTGGCTGAAAACTCAGTAGGAACCAGATGAGCTTAGCATGCCTTACATATCATCATCATCATCTATGGTTAATTTACTTCTTATTTTTACAGCAAATATTAGGCAACAAAGATTTTATGTTTACTCACAAGCCTATGAAATACTTCATGAAGAACTTATGCACAATTGAATTTATGCATCAATTATGTTCACATCTCATTTTCTTACCTGGTACTTATAATGCAACAAATCTAAACATGGTAAGTAAGTCTTCCTATGAAATATATTTCTCTGAATGTGGTATTGGGTTGTGTTTCTCTAAATTTTACAAAGGTTTCATCATCAAGGCAAAAAGTAAGATTTCAAAGAATGGAATCCTTTGCTTCCCCCCACTCACCCCCTTTTCAAATGCTACACCTTTTTTAAAAAATTGAGAATATTTTAGGAAAAAGGCAACAGAAATAATTTGTGTAGGCCCCACAAAGGAGCCCATCCATCCATGGATGTATATTCACATTAATCAGATGGCTCATAGATTTCATTCTATCAGTAAAGCTGGCCTATAGAATATAATCCCCAAAGTAACTTTAACATTTCAGTATTTCGGCTACAATGTACAATTTGGGTACAATGAAAAGAAAGACGGGAAGCTCAGAATAGCCCATTCTGAAACGTCTCAATCTGGCTCAGTCCTTCATTCCTTAAAGGCTACTTAATTTCCAATAGGACTAACTTTCCCAATTTTTGACATTACTAGGGTATGGTGCTATTTTAGTTAACTAGCCCAGCTTTTGAACTGGTAGCTGAAATGGCTGAGAAGTGAGGTGTTTTAGTTAAAAAAACACTACAGTTTATAGCAGCCAGGATATAGCATTGTACTAAGAGCTCAAATCTATGAAAAATAATAGTGAATAACTGTTGTTCTGCTTTTTTCTGACTTTACTGGAGAAGGAACCATGAAGACAATATAGATCAAGAGTATGCTAACAATTTAAATCCTTCCTCCTCCACCCACCCCCAGTTACACATTCATGAGAGTGATCTAACCCCATGAATCATAAAGATAAAATAAGAATACTTAATAATGAAGTCTTTTGTGAATGATAAGCCAAATTAAGATAATGTACATTGGACTGGAAACATAATATTGAATTGTACTGTGCATTTTATAAATATTTCCCTACTCATGCATTCAGCCAGGAAATGGTCATTTTATGAAGCAATCAGCAAAGTTCATGATGTGTCTAATATGTCTTTTAGCAGAGTTGTAAATAAAATCTTTCTGGCAAATGAATACAGCCGACAAAATTCTAGAATGCTATATTCTTGATTTATTCATGTGCAACAACATTCAAACATTTCTGACCCCTGAAAAGACACAAACAAATGTGATTAATTTCAAAGCTGAAACTATTTCAGCCAAGATCTTAGCATTCCAGGTAAGGTGGATCATAACCCGAAACCGTACCTAGCTTATGGGGGTTGATACACTTTCTTATTTTAAACACCAGAGCCGGTGGGCAATCTGGAGGAGTTTCATTGTTGGGTGTGAGACAATGAGATTTATGCAAGTGTAAAGTGAGCTGTGTTTTTATGGCACAGTCACACAATATCACACTTACTGACAGAGTTCTCAGTACAAATTGCCATCATAACCCAAGGATTACATAAGGTGATGACAAAACCTATTACTCTGCTAAAGGTAGGATGTTATATCTTCTTTGAAAAATGAGCAATGCAAGTAAATATTTCCTTTCACCAGTTGTCTGATTTCTTAAAAAAAAAAAATCCACTGACTTGTCAAATCTCTACAGAGCCGAATTGATGTATATGCAGCTCACTATCCAGATAGAACATCAGTTAAAACCGTCTTACACTGGAAACAGGTATAATGTCTTTAATAACTTTGGTTAAATTGTATGTGATTTTAACCATCAAGGTCCCCTGAGATATAACATTGGCTCTGATGTTGATAATTTCCAGGATTGTCTAGGCTGCCTGTCCCAACTTTGCATTTTTCTGGATGTACTAATCTACAAATATTATTCAAAGTTTTATGAGATTTATGGTCCAATGCCGTAGAAGAGCACCAGAGTTTGAAAGGTTATCATATTAAGGAATGTTATGTCTGCATTATTCACTTAAATTTTATGTTTGTCCTATAAGTGGTCTTCAGCTAGAAGTATTTAAAATATAGATCTATTTATCAAGACCAAGGCTGCAAGCTGTAGTTCTATTTATCAAGGTCAATATTTTTTTTCCTTACAAGTGCTAAACACCTTCTCTTGATTTCAATAAATATTTTTATTGTTTTACCTAAAGCACATTTCCCTTTTCCTCTGAAGTTTCTTAGATCACAAATGAGAAATAACAATTCTTTAGATCCCAGTCCCAATATTAAAATATATATCATTGTATTTCTGTATTTCTTCCTTTTTCCTGTTTAGTTCTTGTTCTTTGGATTTACTATAATCATAATCATAGATATGGGGATATACTGTATATAGTATCCAATGCTTTCTCTGATGCTTTTGATAGATACTGGATACAGAAATGTTCCGCTATTTTGATTATGGGAACAAAAATCAGATGATATATAAACAGGTAAGTAGGAAAGCTTTTGGAAAATAATTACAATGGTTTAAAATAATTAGAATATTATATCAAGAGCCTGTATTATAATAGACTTGGGTAAAAAAATACCCCAAATATGGTAATTAAAAACCAACACCATGGGTATAGTTTTTAACTTTGACATGGCTATACCCATTTTTTTTAAAAAAGATTCTTTGATTATGTAAAGGTACTTTGTTTATATAAAGGTGATTTGCTTAGATAAAGGTATTTTGATTTATGACTTTGATTTATATTTGCCTTCTTAGGGAATATTTTCACTGTGTCTATTGCTATTATTGCTCTTTTCTATTAAAAGGAATGCACACATACAGCTATGCATGAACACAACCAGCTATGATACTAGAATGGAATGGAATGGAGTGGAGTGGAGTGGAGTGGAGTGGAGTGGAGTGGAGTGGAGTGAAGTGGAGTGAAATGGAATGGAACGGAACAGAACAGAATAGAATAGCAGAGCTGTAAGAGACCTTAGAGGTCTTCTAGTCCAACTCTCTACTCAGGCAGGAAACCCTATACCATAGGCTGTTGGTTTGATCTCCGAGCTTGGCAATTTGGCTGCAAATGTTTCATCTCCATTTTGGGAACATCTTTAGTGCGCTTTGAAGATGTCCCCCCAAGTGGAGACAAAATGTTTGCAGCCAAATTGCCAAGCTCAGAGATCAAATCAACAGCCCAACTACCAACTCGAGCTACTAATATTCAAACACATCTCAACCCTATACCATTTCAGACAAATAGTTGTCCAATCTCTTCTTAAAAACATCCAGTGTTGTAATATTCACAACTTCTGGAGGCAAGTTGTTCCACTGGTTAATTGTTCTGACTATCAGGAAGTTTCTCCTTAGTTCTAGGTTGGTTCTCTCCTTGATTAGTTTCCATCCATTGCTTCTTGTCCTACCCTCAGGTGCTTTGGAGAATAGCTTGACTCCCTCTTCTTTGTGGCAGCCCCTGAGATACTGGAAGACTGCTTTCATGTCACCCTAGTCCTTCTCTTCATTAAACTAGATATATCCAATTCCAACAATGTTTTACTCTCCAGCCCCCTAATCATATTTGTTGCTCTTCTCTGCACTCTTTGTAGAATCTCAACATCTTTTTTACATTACGGTGACCAAAACTGGATGCAGTATTCCAAGTATGGCCTTACCAAGGCATTATAAAATGGTATTAACACTTCACGTGATCTTGATTCTACCCCTCTGTTAATGCAGCCTAGAACTTTGTTGGTTTTTTGGCAGCACGCTGCTGGCTCATATTTAACTGATTATCTACTAGGACTAAGATTCCTCTCACAGTCACTACCAGGGCTTTTTTTCTCATAGAACGCCCAGAATGGAGTTCTGGCACCTTTTTTGGATGGAACCTTGTAGGGTAGGCAAGGTGGGTTGTATGATGTGTGTGAGTTCCGGCACCTTTTTTTTTTTTTTTTTTTTAGAAAAAAAGCACTGGTTACTACTATTGAATGAGGTACCACCTCTACTGTACCTGTGCCTTTGGTTTTTCTTGCCTATATATAGAATCTTACTTTTTCGCCATTAAATTTCATTTTGTTAGATAGCGCTCAATGTTCAAAAAAACATAGTTTTTAAAGAAGGAGATACTATGAATTCCTCCATTGGACATGAAAGATAACAATGACAAACAATGGAAATAACAATGAAAGAGTAAATAAAAATAATCTTTTCAGTCTCATCTTCTTTCTCTTGTCTCCTCTCATCCCCATCATAGCATTTAAATGACAATTAACATCCGATCCATATGAAAAATGTAACTATTTCCAGAAGTCTGTGATTGTGACTCAATATCAACACTGCATTACAATTATCAATATTATGATTTTACTTTCTAGAGAGTTCCTCCTTCATATCAAATAAAAGACATGGTGGTACCAATTGCAGTGTGGTCTGGGGGACAGGACACAATTGCAGACCCAGAAGATATAGAGCTCTTACTTTCTCATATTGTTAACTTGGTTTATCATCGCTCTTGGTCAGACTGGACCCACTTGGATTTTATCTGGGGACTCAATGCTCGTGAACGCTTGTTCTTCAAAATAATTCAGTTGATAAAGATGTCTATGTAAATCAATGGTTTGCTGTATATTTACATATGTATCTGCAAATACAAATTTGGATTAATAAAGAAGGTGCATTCTCTGTTATAGCAATTGCTTTTTGGTAATATCATTTTTCACTCCCCTTACCCAGATTTATTCAACCCCCAACTTGACTGGGCTTAAAAGAACCTTGCACACTTGGCTTGTATTTCTTTTGGTCAGAATGATTATTACTTTTGGATATTTAAAGTTTCCTGTCGGTACTCCCATCTCTATTTTATCAATACAGGTAGTCCTCGACTTATGATCACAGCTGAGCCCCAAAATTTCTGTTGCTGAGCAAAAACGTTGCTAAATTAGTTTTGCCCCATTTTACGACCTTTCTTGCCACATGTGTTAAGTGAATAACTGCAGTTGTTAAGTTGGTAGCATGCTTGCTAAGTAAATCTGGCTTCCTCATTGACTTTGCTGGTCAGAAAGTCACAAAAGGTGATCACTTGACCCTGGGACATTGCAACCATCATAAATATGAACCAATTGCCAAGGATCTGAATTTTGATCATGTGACCATGAGGATGCTGCCACAGTCATGTAAAACACAATAATAAGTCACTGTTTCAGTGCCATTGTAATTTTGGTCCCTAAACGAATTATTGTAAGTCAAAGACTACCTGTATTTTTAACTATGCACTACCTAGAATTGTTTTAGAGTGGACAGCCTTATTACATTTAATTAATTAATTCAAACATATGACTACAGAGATCCCATCAAGACTCATTGTTCTGCAAAGAGAGTAAAGCAAGCATTTGTCTTCTACCCAACAGTTGGCATTCGATAAAGAAATGGTTGGATGTTCTGCTGAGTGGCAAACATAAGTACACCACTTATTGTGATAATAAACAATAATTAGGGACTTGAACAGTCAGACAGGTAGAAATATGGGGATACCTATAATGATTTAAAATAGGGGTCCCCAACCCTTGGGTCACAGCCCGTTACTGGGCTTTGAGCCATTTGGAAGCAGGCCGTGGAAGCGGCGGGGGAACACACATGTATGCATCTCCACTTGGGCAAGCAGTGGGCAAACACACATGCACCACTCCACTTGTGCGAGTGGCAGGCGTGCATGCTTGCCAACCACTAGTGTGAAACTAATCCTCTCTCCTCCCCCCAGCCAGTCTGCAAAGCTGGAAAGGTTGGGGAACTCTGTTTTAAAATATTAAGCAATATATTTTTAAATTTTAGGGCTATTATTAAACAATAGGAAGCAGGGTTACAAGTGAAAGCATGTGCCTTTGTTGTAAATCAAATCTATTTCTAGCATAATGCCATGAGTTTTTGTCATGTGGAAAGTAGGACTCCTACATTTCCCCTTCCCATTTTGAAAATTGTTCCATTAGATCTTTAGACTTTGTCAAATTTCATCTTCTCCTACTTCCTCTCTCATCACCCAAATCATTATTGGAAAATAACCTTTCCTTCGAGTGTTAATTATTCTGTTATTATGCGATAATTGCAAAGTATGTTTCGAGACAAGGAATCCATGATATTAAATAGAGCTTATCTTATCACAATCTTCTGGCAGAATTCAATCACTTTAAAATAACTGTTCTGAAGACTGGGTGCCTACTATTATTTTGTATAGTGTATACAAATATATAAACTATACAAAATAAATATATTCATTATTGAAATTAACTAATTATCTTCCTACCTGATATTGTCATGGTGCTTTTATTGCTATTTTATTCTTAGCCATAGTTTGAAAAGGTAAAACGGAGTTGTTGAAAGGTTTCATTAACATATTTGAATGATTTTTTTTTATTTCATGAGGGACGGAGATCATATAGATACATATATTAAATATATAAGATCATTTGGCAGGTAGCTTATAAAGTGGTCATTATTATTCCTTTAATTAACAAATGCCATTTTGTGTTGGAGGGTACAACCTAGAGACTGCTGAAATTTGAAATGTGAAGAGGCATTGTATTTTTGTTTTATTTATAAAGCAAACATTAAAAATTATAATACAGTATATATGAGTAAGCCAGAAAAAGACTAATACCGCATTTGGGAATTGGGCACAAAGAAATTGCTTGGTTAAATTTTTTAAGGAAAGATATCCTTGGGTTGATATTCTAAAATGTATTTCGATTAATTTTTGGGTTTGGCTTTAGGAAAGACCATTTACACATTTGCAAACGTTATTTCAGTCCCTGTTAATTCTCATTCATTATTTAGATATATTTCTTTGTTTGAGCTAAGGGGGAAATTGTTTCTGTACTGGCATTCAGTTCCCCTGGAGCTATTTCTTTCGGTTCTGAGAGATAGTATATGCCCAGAGGGAGGTGGGTTTTTTAAAAAATTAAATCCTATTGTATTTTATCAGGAATGTTTAGAAATAAGATTTATAATTTTAGTGGAAAATGTGTTTCAGCTTACTTATATTGAAAAGTCTATGTATGCATACTGTTGCATTAACATCACTGGAAGAATTCATATTTTAATGGAAGAACCCCAGAATTTCAATTTTAGATTATAACCATAACATGCAGAAATAATGACCTCATCAACTGCTCTTAAGCTTTCTTAAGTTGGGAAATAATTTTAAAACTCTCTTATATAAGACCCAAACAAAATCCTCATTCTCACATTTTAGTTCAAATGGCTAACAGTCATGCCATTTTCTTAGAAGAAATAGGAATTTATGCAATTACAGTGGTAACATTTTGTTTGCGCTTATATAACCATTGTCCCAATGTTCTGTACTATGTTTAGCAAATGATAATGCCACGCTTTTTGTGAGTGGTTTGACAATGTCACTTCCTCTACTGGATATTTTGATAGGGGTCAACCCTACGTGTGTAAAAGCACAAGAAAAAAGTAACAGTGTCCAAATGTCCCACAAGAAGCAGAATCACTCAAATGTATGATGTGTCCCCATGCTTTGGAGCCTTCAGTCTTCCCCCCTCTCTAAATCAACTGTATCCTCAACATGAAAGCTTTACCCATGTCTGCACTAGCTAAAAAACAATGGCAACTCTATTTGCTACTTCTTCTCTCACAAGCTAGGAGAAGGGACTTTGTTCTGTGGGCACAGCCTCCCAATATTCCTGGTTATTTCCCTTTAGCCCCTAGAAAATTCTACCTGAAGACCATCTATTGTATCCAATGCTTAAGATCTCTGAATTTAGAAATATCAGTTGCTAGAGGTCTTCATCTCTTTTGAAGGAACTGACTATCCTGTCTCAGGCTAATGACACACAAATACCTGAAGGGCTTGCAAACAAAAGTATCTGCAGTATAGAGATAAGTTTTCCCCCAAAACTCAGGACATTTGGTTTACAAGAGTTTGTGAGAAGTTTTATATCAAAATATATTTTATTCTTTATACTGTTTCCATCTTCCCTTAAAATATTAACAGGATCCTCAATAGTCTGAGAATCAGTGTCTCCACTAGATAACTGACAGTCAAACAAACTAAATTAATCAAATAAAAATAGCAAATGGGAAAATCTTTCTCAAACTTCCTCAAACCCCCAAATAAGTTACTCAGATCTAACACACATATCAAAATATAAGATCTGCAAACACAGAGTTAATTAAATTAGATCTTCAAGTGGAAGTGCATGTTCACAATAATAAACATACCTACACACACACACACACACACACACACAACCACACACGTCTCTCAAGTGTCACGCTAGAATCAGTGCTTAGACCCGTGGTGGCGAACCTATGGCACGCGTGCCACAGGTGGCACACAGAGCCCTGTCTGTGGGCATGCGCACCGTCGCCCCAGTCCTAGGCCTTCAGCTGGGTTTTATAAAACATTTTCGCTTTAGGCCTCCACCGCAGTGTGCAAAAAAAAAAAAAAAAGGTTCAATCAATCAATTTCAACTTCTCGCAGGGAAAAAAAATCTCGCAAAGTTGGAATTGATTGAATTTTTTAGTCCCACCCAGTCTGCTATTACCACCAAAGCCATGCCCACCCAATGGGCCACACCCACCTGGCATCCGACAATACATAAGTGGGTTTTGGGTTGCAGTTTGGGCACTTGGTCTCTAAAAGGTTCGCCATCACTGGCTTAGACACTTCACCCCGAACAAGCTCCCCCTATAAATATCTGCTGCTGTACCCCATTTCTCTGCAGCCTGCCTATAATTGCAAACTATTTTGCTTTTAGAAATAAATACTTCTTCTTTCCTCATAGCCTCGGCTAGAGATGGAACCCCAAATTATTCTTCTGACAAGTTCCAAATCAAAGAGGCACATAGGACAATAGTTATGTAGAGCCTGTGAGCCAGACTTGTAGAGCCAGACAAATTAGAGGGATACTTACACCACTAAGCTGTTTCCAAAGACCAAATAGCACTATGTTTAGCACACTTCAGGGCTCTCCCCATGGCAGTTTTCAAGGACTGATACAAAGAAAAAAATCACCATAAGCTGAAACTGTGCCTTTGTGGACAAGCAGCTGTTGACACTACAGTCTATTTCCTGTGATACTGAACCCTCTATAACAGGGGTCTCCAACCTGTGGGCCGTGGCCTGATAGTGGGCCGTTGTCTGCTGGCCACGGGACAGGCTGGCCAGCTCACACACATGTTTTTCGCCGAGCCCTGAAGGCCCATCTATTCCGTGCGGCCGGCCTGGCATAGTTTGAGTATGTTTTAGTGGGGGTTTTTATATGGGTGTGTTTTTAGAACAGGCCCATTATTTAATTTGATTTTAGAACTGCCTATATTTATCATGGTTTTTATTATCGCCTGTTCACCGCCCTGAGTCCCGTAAGGGAGATAGGGCGGTATATAAATTCAATAAATAAATAAATAAATGTGTGCGCACACACACCCCACTTGCATTAGTGCCCCAGGACGCTTTGCCATGGGGGGTAAAAACAGGCCACCACCATGCCTTAAGTTGCAAAAATGGGATGCTGCTGTGCTACAGGGTGCAAAAATGGGACGTCGCCATACCGCAGGGTGCAAAAACTGGCACCACCGTGCCAAGGGGCACAGAAATGGGGCGCTATGCTGCGCAAG